GACCGCCAGCCCGGGGGGCAGCGGCACCTGTAGGACCCCACGGTGTTGACGCAGACGGCGGAGCTGTGGCACTGGTGCTGTCCGGAGCGGCACTCGTCCACGTCTGCGGAGACAGGAACGGCTCAGACCCCGTCCCCGCCCCGCGGTAATTCAAGGCGGTCCGCCGCGGCGGCGGAGGGCGCGGGGCTCAGGCGGGTGCGGGCGCCTGGTCGCCGGTGCGCATGCGTGGGGTGTGGACCATCCCGAATCGCGTATGCTGTCAGTAATCAGCGGACGTGGGGCCCCGGGTCCAGCCAGGGCGCACAGGGCGTGGCCAAGCGGGGCGTGGTTACATGAGGGGCGTGGCCAAGAGAAGACCATCGAGTCGTGGGCATGGTTAATCAGGGCTGGCTAAAGCAGCAGGTGTGGTTAAGAGCAGGCAAGGCCGAGCAAGGTGGGCCTGATGGGCGTGGTTAGACAGTGACGTCTGGCCACGGGTGTGGCTAATAGATGGGCGTGGCCAAGCCTGGTCCCTCCCAGATGAGTCTCCAGGGGTGGACCTTCGCACTGGGTGACCAGCCGGCCGATGCCGGGATTCCGGGATGGGCCCCCAAGCCACGTCGGCAGCGGCATTTGTAGCCGTTGGCTTCCTTGAGGTGGAGTTGTGGCAGCGATTCTGGCCGGAGGGTCAGAGCCGCCCAACCCTCAGTCACCACCACAGCCAGGAAGTCTACCTTGCTCTGCCTCGATGGTGCCCACCTCGTCTAAAGAATATGAACCCTGGGGGCGTGGTCGGCGATGGGAGTGTGGCATGGTGACAGGTCGCAGCTCATTGGCTGAGGTGAGACTCATCAGGGCGTGAATCGGTGGGAGCGCTTGCCTCCCTTGCACAAGGTCCCCGGGGTTCACCCTCAACTCTGGTACACAAAAGAGGCCAAACCAAGCAACCCAAAAGGCCCGGGACATTGTGCCTTCCAGGATGGAGCCACGCCCCCATCACAAGCTATGCCCCTCTAACCACGCCCACCCACAACCTCGCCCACAACCCAGCCACGCCCACTCCCACTAGCCACGCCCACTACCCACGCCCCCAGCACTAGTCAAGCTCGACCAGCTTAATACTGTAGCTTTTAATTCTTTACAAGATAAGTGTTTTCTCCATTGTTTCTGTCTCTGTCTCTCAGCACACCATTTCAAGGATCTTAACACACCTCACATGTCCACGGTGTTTTCAGAGGGTGGGGTCCTGCCTGCAACTGGTCCCCACGTTTGCTCCTTACCTTGGCACCGCCTTGCAGCTAGACGTTTGTGCACAGGTGCACGCGCACCTGTCCAGCCCGTCTCACGCTCTAGGCGCTTTTACAGCCATTCCTTGGTGATGGGGAGGAGGGTGGGGTCTCACCTTGACACGTGTTCTCACTCTCGTTCCTGAATATTTTGTCCCCAGACTCGAGTGCATATCCTGGGCTGCACGTGCAGTAATAGCTCCCTTCTGTGTTCTCGCAGTCCGCAAACTTCCCACAGTATGTCCTCAAAGGTGGTGCACACTCGTTGATGTCTGCAACACACAGGCTAAAGGTGTGAGTTCTCTCAGGAAGGAGACTCCCCCATCCCCAACCTGACCCCCAGCACTGGGGCTGATCTTGCTTTTGAAAGAATCTTGGGCTGCACTCTGAAGCCGGGCTGCACCTGGAGCAGGCCATTCCTGAAGGCTAATCAGTCAGCTCTGCTCTGAATCCTCAGGGTGACATGCAGGATTTAGACACAGTGGACAGTGACAGGGTAGGGGATGGGCTGGAGGCTCAGCACCTCCCTCTCCTAGTCTTGAGGGAAGATGGACGCACAGACTCCTGGCCACCCAGGTCCTTTCTCCACAGGAAGCCATGCACATTGATTTCTTGTTTCTCCCCTTCTTTTCTCTCCTTCAGTGATGGACCCCAACTGTGACCCGTGTCCCCCACTCTCACAGGACTAGGCCCCCCAGTGTGCCCAGCACTCCAGGCCTCTGTACCGTCACAGCTGCCGTCCGGGCTGGTGATGAGCTCCTCCACTGAACTGAATCCCGCATCACAGCGGCAGGTGTCGGCACTGAGACACTTGGAGTTCGGAGGACACCACCTGGCACAGCCTGAGGCAGGGACGGGACCAGGTGAGGAGCCGGGGCAGGGGCGGGGCCAGCGCCATCCCGGGGAGGGCCCAGGGGAGGGGTGGGAAGAGGGGGCGGCCCTGTGTCCTCCCTGGGCTGAGGGGAGCGGGGAGGACGCTGCCCCCAGCCTCCAGGTGGGGACCGAGTGCTCCCTGCAGACTCACCTTCTTGTTTCTGGGCTGCAGCTCCACACAGACTCAGCACCGTGCACAGCACTGCAACGGAGCGGGGGAGGGGTCAGGGTGCCTCTGAGGGGTGGGGTGCTGACCACGCTCCGAGGCTTGCATTATGTCAGCTCCAGGATTTGTCCCATGGGCGCCTCTGTGAGCCCATGGCCACAGCACTCTTGGGGTCCCTTCAGGACACAGACAGGGGGCCTGGCCACCCCATTCTGATTCTGGGCCATGGTCAGGGAGCGGGGTGATGCCATCTCCTTCCTGTGCCAGGGCAGGAGCAGCCCGGGCCAGGCAGTGCCTGGTCTTCAGGGAAGAACAGAGGCCCCGGACCGGGCATTTCCTCAAATCTCCACCAGCCCAGCTCCCCGTGCCTTCAGACCGCAGAGGGGAAGTTGCTGCGGAGGGGCCTTGTGCCCCTGTGTTCCTGATGCTGGGCCTGGGGGTAGGGGTGGCCCCTGCCCAGGGCAGGTCCTGGGAGTTTCTGTCTAGTCTCCATTCAACAGAGAGATGCAGGAAAGGGGCTGAGCAGGTGAGAAAATAGACAGAGAGAGACAGGGGGGGGCAGAGGCAGAGGCAGAGGCAGAGAGAGACAGACAGAGAGAGAGAGACAGAGAGGAGGAGAACAGAAGGATGGGGTGCACCAGGGGAGGGTTAGGAGGAAATAGACACTCTCCCTCAACCTAGAAACCCTGGGAATGCAGCAAGGAATCCAGAGAGAGTGGAAGAAAGAAGGGTGTGGGGCAGGAATTGACATAGATCCCTTCCTGGGTCAAGGGGGAAGGGCCTGGCTCATCACTCCCTTGCACCTTGGACTGGGATTCTGGAGGCTGCTGTGGTTTCCATTTGGTCCTTGGATGTCTGTGGTACCCTCCCCAGCTCATCTGAGTTCTCTCGGAAGGGGGCAAGACCAATTCTAACCAGGCATGATGGCCACAGGGAACAAAGCAGGATGTGTGGGAATCACAGTCTATTTTTAATTTTTGTCAGCCGTGGGGCTTGAACTCTGGGCCTGGGTGCTGTTCCTCAGCTCTTCAGCTCAAGGCGAGCGCTCTACTGCTTGAGCCACAGTGCCACTTCCGGTTTTCTAGTGTTTTATTGGAGATAAGAGTCTCACAGACTTTCCTGCCTGGGCTGGAAAGTCTGCCTGGGCTGAACTGTCATCCTCAGATCTCAGCCTCCTGAGTAGCTAGGATTACAGGCATGAGCCACTGGTGCCCAGCTCACAGTCTATTTTTTTGATTGAACTCAGAGCTTTAAGCTCACAGGTGCTCTCCCACGAAACCATGATCTCAGCCCTTTTATTTTTCAGTAGCTTCTCACTTTTTGCCTGGACTGTGATCGTCTTGTTTTGTGTTTCTCACCATAACTAGGATGACAGGCTCAGCTTTTTCTATTGAGAATCTGGGCTTCTCTGGGACTGTTCTCCTTATGACCTCACAAACTTCTTGCCTGAGGTGGCCTCAAATTATGATCCTCCTGTTCTCTGCCTCCTCTGACAGGCAACTGGCATTATAAGCATGAACCATTGCAGCAGGACACATAATCATGGTTTTTTTTTTGGTCTGTCGTGGGGCTTGAACTCTGGGCTTGGGCGCTGTCCCTCAGCTCTTCAGCTCAAGGCTAGCGCTCTACCACTTGAGCTACAGTGCCACTTCCGGTTTTCTGGTGCTTTATTGGAGATAGGAGTCTCATGGTCTCTCTTGCCCGGGCTGGCTTTGAACTGCGATCCTCAGATCTCAGCCTCCTGAGTAGCTAGGATTACAGGTGTGAGCCACCAGGCGCCCGGCTCACATAATCATGTTTTAAACACTAAGGGACATGTAATATACAAGTATGCCAAGCTTTGGAACATATGAATTGATTTATGCCCCCTCTCCTTGGTCCTCAGTCCCTGCCAGAAGAAATAAGAAACAAAATGATAGTGCTATTATCACCCCTATTTTACATAAGGGAAAACCAAAGCTCAAGGAGAGGAGAGCTCATGAGTATCAATGTCACTGATAAGAGACAAAGCCAGGATTTGAACCTACGAATCTGGACCCAGATTCTACCATTGCTCTCCATACCACCTGGCTCTCTGGGATGGTGGCTGAGTTACAGGAAAAAGTGAATTCTAATGTCTATGTCCACATGTACGGTCACGTTCCTTTGTGCCTGTGCATGGTGCGCATACACACTTAGAATGTGCCCTAGTTGGGTGTAGCAGGGTGTGCCTCTAGTCCCTGCTGTTTGGGAGGCTGAGCCACAAGGATTGCTTGAGCCCAGGAGTTTGAGGTCAGCCTGGGCAGCATGGTGAGAACCTGACTCAACAGCAAACTAAAGCAAACTAAAGCACACACACACACACACACACACACACACACACACACACACACACACACACACACACACACACACACACACACACATCTACCTCTTGAAGAAGCTGACAGCACTGAATTTGTTTTACATTTTTATACTATTTAAAGCCTAAAGCTGGTGGCTTAGGCCTTTAATCCTAGCTACTCACAAGGCTACTCAGGAGGCTGAGATCTGAGGATCGCGGCTCAAAGCCAGCCTGGCAGAAAAGTCCATGAGACTCTTATCTCCAATAAACCACTCAGAAAACCAGAAGTGACTCTGTTTAAGTGGTAGAGCACCAGCCTTGAGCTGAAAAGCTGAGAGACAGTGCCCAGACCCAGAGTTCAGGCCCCAGCACCAATAAAAAAAGTTTTTCTACACTATTCAGTGCTGTTCAAAGTGTTCCCAGCTTTGGAAAAAAAGTCATGTTTTACACATCAGATAGAAGTTATATTCATAAGTACCAAGTTATATTCATAATATACACATCAGACAGGAAATTATATTCATAAATACCAAATAGATTCATAAGTACCAAGAAAGAAGTTACAGCCAAAGAGACAAGTGCCTAAGATATATGCCTCAACTACTGACAGTCTCCTCATTATTAAATTATTATTCTCACTATTAAAGGAAATGAAGACTAATCAGAATTCGCTGCAAATTGATGAGATTTTTTTTCTTCCCCAGAGCACAACCCATATCAATATTTCAAAGTACTTTTTTTTTTATGCTGGTGCTAAGATTTGAACTCCGGGCCTCTCACTTCCACTTGAACTTTTCCATTCAAGACTGGTGCTCTACCACTTGAAGCACAATTCCATTTCTGGCTTTTTGTTGGCCAAGGAGATAAAAGAGTCTCATGGACTTTCCCACCTGGATTGGCTTTGAACCATGGTCCTCAGTTCTCAGCCTCCAGAGTAATTGGAAGGACAGGCGTGAGCCACTGGTGTCTGCCTTCAAATGGCTTTTGGATTAGAGTATTAGAGGTCAAGTATCAGCTCCTGTCTGGCTCAACATCTTGACATACCTTGAAGAATTCCAGTCCCAAATCAGGATGATGACTACAGATACTGGAAAAAAGTGACTTTCTTGTTGGAGAACTTCACATAAAAGAACTTCACATGTGCCTGGTGCCTGTGGCTCACATTTGTAATCCTAGCTACTCAGGAGGCTGAGATCTGAGGATCCTAGTTCAAAGCCAGCCCGGGCAGGAAAGTTTCCATGAGACTCTTATCTCCAATGAACACCAGAAAACCAGAAGTGGCATTATGGCTCAGATGGTAGAGAGCTTGTCTTGAGCTGAAGAGATGAGGGACAGTGCCCAGGCCCAGAGTTCAAGCCCCATGACTGACAAAAAAAAAAAAGAAAGAGTGAACATCTCAGAAAAATATCACCTCTGCTGTTATTATAGAGAAGCCAGAAATCAAGTTAAAGACTGAGAAGATTTGCAGACTGGGTACATGGTCCCCAGCTACCATTATCTGTCTGTCTCTTGTCATTGTCATAATTCAACTTACCTGGGAGCAGCCTTAAATACCCATGTCTCATGGTCCAGAAACTGGCAATGCTGGTCATGGAGGAACCTTTGATTCTGGTCTGGATGAGCTAAAAATTGCTTCCTGTTTTAAGAACTCATGACCAGGATGGTTTAGGAAACCACTGATCTGAATGTTTTGTTTTTTTTTTGAAACATCGTTATCTGTATGATGTTCATGTTTCAGGAACTCACAGTTCCGTTTTCAAGTATTTGCTTTGTATTAGAAGAAACTCTACAAAAATGCTTTTTTGGGGTGGCTCCTGAAATACTTTGTTACAGGGAGTGTGAAGTTACATATTAGAATACATCTCAACATGTAGACCCATCCTACTGGATTCCAGCATTTGTGTGTGTGTTGTAGGGTGTCTGTGGGTGTATATGTATGTATATTGCTAATTAACATACTTAGCTGCTTTTCTTTTTGTCAGTCATGGGGCTTGAACTCTGGGCCTAGGCACTGTCCCTCAGATCTTCAGCTCAAGGCTAGCACTCAACCACTTGGCCCACAGAGCCACTTCCGGTTTTCTAGTGGTTTGCTGGAGATAAGAGTCTCATAGACTTTGCTGCCCAGGGTGGCTTTGAACCACAGTCCTCAGATCTCAGCATCCTGAGTAGCTAGGATGGCAGGCGTGAGCCACTGATGCCAGAGGATTTAAAAACAAAAAACAAAAACCCAATTGATTCTGAAATACAGATCCACAGAAAGTTGCAAATACAGCACCAAGAAGTCATGGGTAGCCTTCACCCAGTATTGGCCAAGGTTATACTTAGATGAGAACAGTCCATTGTCAAGATATTGGTGTAGTGCATTCATTCTGTGGCATTCTTTGTTGGTAATGGTACCAGTGCTTGAACTCAGGACCAGGGCACTGTCCCTGAGCTTTTCTCAGTTAAGGCTGTCACTTTACCACTTGAGCCACAGCCCCACTTTTGGCTTTCTGGTGGTTTTTTGGAGATAAGGGTCTCATGGACTTCCCCTGCCTGGGCTGGCTTTGAACCATGCTCTTCAGATCTCAGCCTCTTGAGTAGCTGGGATTACAGGTGTGAGCCACTGGGCCTTGCTTTTATGCCATTACATGTCTCTTTATTCAAGAGACACTATCCCCATAGAGAACTCTTCATGCTCCTCGAGCTCCCTTCCCTTTTGGTGGTGGTGAGGGGGAGTGGGCAAAGGGACTTTGATGAAAATGTTGGAAATTTCCATGGTAGAGCTGATCTACTTGCAGTTCAAGTCTATCTTGATCACTGAGCTCTGGTGACTGAGATGTTTCTCCTCTGCTGCAGTTTTCCTGTCTGTAAATCGGGGATTGTGTGTGTCACACGCATGACAGGAGAGAAAGGAAGGCAAGGCTGGCCCAGGCCACCCCACACAGAAGCCATGATCCTGGTTGCTGGGTGACTTGTTTTTGTTTTGTTTCTGTTTTTCTTTTCTTCTTTTGTTCCCTCTCGCATTGTTTCAACTTGCAGACAGCCTTCTTGGCTTCTCTACTCTTGATTCTTTGAAAGATCAGCAATTCACCCAGATCTGCAAGTCCTGAGCTCTGGGATCGGGGGAGACTGAGCGCTCCATGGGGCAGCCCCTGGTAGAGGCCTACGCCGGAAGTGGATCGCCTCAGAATCCGGAAACCGGAAGTCGGCGAGTGGCGTCCCTTCGGAACCGGAAGTTCTGATTTACTGCCCCAGAAGCCAAAGAGACCAAGCTGAAATCTCCATGTGCGGGATCGCCAGGAAAATGGGGAGAGATCTCAGGAATCCAGAGCTAAGGATTTTGTTTTCTTCTAGAAACCCTAAATGCCCAGAAAATAGGAGCATCTTTTTTATATCAGAACCTGTGAGCAATTGAAAGAAGGCTGAGGCTGGATATGAGCTGAAGTCAGACACTGGAGGGGAAGAGGGGGGGAGGATTCGGTCCAGAAGAGATCATCAAAGTGTGTGTGAGTGTGAGAGTGTGTGTGAGTGAGTGTGTGTGAGTGTGTGATGTATGTGTGAGTGTGTGTGTGTGAGTGAGTGATTTATGTGTGTGTGTGAGTGTGTGATGTATGTGTGTGTGTGATGTATGTGTGAGTGTGTGTGAGTGTGTGTGTGTGATGTATGTGTGAGTGTGTGATGTGTGTGAGTGTGTGTGTGAGTATGAGTGTGTGTGAGTGATGTATGTGTGAGTGTGTGTGAGTGAGTGTGTGTATGAGTGTGTGTGTGTGAGTGTGTGTGAGTGTGTTGCAGCCTGTGATGTCAGCCTTGTATTGCAGGACAGTGGGAAGAGGGTGAACTCGAGGGAGAACTCTGCGGGATGCTAGGGAGCACATCTCGGAGGGTTTGGGGAGATAGGGAAGGGATGTTGACGTCAAATAGGAAGCAAATAGCGGGCCAAAATTGGAACCTAAGCCATGAAGACTGAATCACTCAGCTCAGAAAGCACCACAAAGCCAGGTAGGGGTGACTGTGTGGTGGCTGCTTCGGGCCATGTTTTCAGGTGACTTCCTTCCCAGGGGATGAACTGGAACCTGTCTTCTATAGGAAGAGGGAGATGTTTTCGAGCAGGTGAAAAGAGAGCTTGTGAGGAAGGTGTGGACCAGAAAGACCCCTGCATCACCGTGTTTGTTGTAGTAGTTCCCAACAACACATGAATGGATGAATAAGAATGAAATAAATACTCACAGGTCAGTCATCCCAGCTACTCAGGAAGCTGAGATCTGAGGATCATGATTTGAAGCCAGCCTGGTCAGGAAAGTCTGTGAGACTCTTATCTCCAATAAACACCAAAAAGAAAACTGGAAGTGGAGCTGTGGCTCAAGTGGTAGAGCATTAGCCTTGAGCAGAAAAGCTCAAGGATGGGTACACTCACAAAAAGAATGAGATCCTTTCCTCAGGAAATGGATGTATTAGGAAGACATGCTATTGATCATGACAAGCCCAGCACAAAACCCAACATATTCCACGTTATTTTTGGTGCACATCTTGCTTTTTTTGTCTCTGTTATGTAAGACCTAAATGAGCAGCAAATCACTTTCTCTGTTCTCCTTTGCATTTCCACAGAGGTATGTGAATGTATTCCTCTATGAGTATAATAAAATATAGAGTAAAATGAAAGAAAAGGACAGATTATGACATACAGAAATTCGTAGTGAGGGGAAGGTAAAATTAAGTGTAAAACAACTGTATTAAGCATAAATAATGATATTAATAATTAAGCATATGCACATATTATATGGATAATATAATACAATCAAGAGTTTCTAATCTCATTGGTGATGGCCTAGAAATGAAAGAATGTATAAAGAATGCTTAGCTAAAATGTGGCCCATTGTAAATGTCCAGCTAGTGTGTGTCATTTTTCTGAAACAAATAAAAAAAATTACCAGATCTGGGCTGGGAAGGTGGCTCAGTGGCAGAGTGCTTGCCTTGCATGCATGAGGCCCTGGGTTCGATTCCTCAATACCACATAAGCAGAAAAAGCTGGAAGTGGTGCCATGGCTCAAGTGGTAGAGTGCTAGCTTTGAGCTGAAGAGCTGAGGGACAGCACCCAGGCCCAGAGTTCAGGCCCCACATCCAGAAAAAAAAATACCAGGTCTCACCAGGCACCAGTGGCTTATATCTGTCATCCTAGCTATTCAGGAGGCTGAGATCTGAGGATTGTGGTTCAAAGCCAGCCGAATCAGGAAATTCTGTGAGACTCTCTATCTCCAGTTAAATACCAAAATAAATCTAGCTGTGGAGCTGTGGCTCAAGTGGTAGAGCTCTAGAGTGAAAAAGCTCAGGAACAGCACCCTGGCCCTGTGTTCAAGCTCCAGGACCCCCCCCCCCACACCAAGTCTGTAGCATGCCATTTCACTTCTGATAAGGTTGTCTTTGTATTGAGTTGGGGACGCTTTTGATGGGTTAGGTGACAACATACATTGCTGTTTATCTGAAGGGAAATACAGAAAGTCACCTGCTTCACAGACTTTTTAAAAACTCAGAGGAGAAAAGACCTTGCTATGAGAGTAAATAACGAGCTTTAAGGACATATTGAGAAAACTCCACATCAAGTTCCTGGCTGGACAGACTCACTCTGAATGCACAAAGACAGAAATATTCCTCGGGGTGACATTTAAAAGGGGGTCTATCTAGAAAGAATCCAAAGTTATATCTACAACGAATCTAGAAAATGTCCTCTAAATGCCACCGAGTATAGAAAATAGGCAAATGATCACAGTAAGAAAAGGAATTTCAGGGGTTCTCCATCTCACAAATCATAAACGCCCTCAGCTCACCGCAAGGTTCTCCTCTCTTTTCCCTAAATATCTGCAAAGTCTGTGGACCCTGCTCTACCTGTGGGAGATGGTTTTATGCATCTCGATCCTTTTCTAATTGGGCTGCCATTGCTGTCCGTTCCCAGCCCGGGACAACGTCCACGGCTGCGCTCAGCATCAGTGAGTGAATTAACCAAGCTAGCAGTGGCCGCAGCCGCCTCTCAGCCCTGGGCTGTGGTGGCTCTCTCTTGACATTAGTAAATGTTGGAGGCTTCTGTCTGTCCGCAGCTCTTCCTTGGCACCAGCTGGGCTCTCAGACTCCCCTGGGTGGGATTTCATGAGTGGAAGTTCCTGTGTGGGAAGAATTCTCCCTGAATACCAGTGAAGGATGGAAGATGGCAGGGAGTGGACTAGCATTGGGTCTGGAGCAAGATGGGGTACCCCAAAGCTAGCCAGCTGTGTGGCCCAGCCAGGGACACACACACACACACACACACACACACATACATACACACACACACACACACGAACACGGACAATGGCAATGGCAGAGGTGTTCACAGCACTGTGAATCTGCACTTTAGGTTTGTTTCCCTCCTGGGGGAATTTATCAAGAAAGCAATTTACTTACTTTTGGATTATTCCCAAGACACCTAGTTAAATGTCAGTTGAATCAGGAGTTATTACTAGTCTTGCTTTATCCCAACTCTCCATTTCTCCAAAGTCTAAGATTTTTCTGGCCACTGGTAGCTCATGCCTGTAATCCCAGCTACTCAGGAGGCTGAGATCCGAGGATCACAGTTTGGAGCCAGCCTTGGGCAGAAAAATTCATTTGATCCTTATCTCCAAGGAACAACCAAAAAGCCAGAAGTGGAGGTGTGACAGAGCATGAGCCCTGAGTTCAAGCCCCAGGACCAGCACAAAAATAAAAACAAAAACAAAAGCAGTCAATTTCCAAACCATCCCCTTGGCACTGAGATGTCAAATTGTGTGATGGAAGAAGGGTGCCGGTGGCTCACGCCTGTCATCCTAGATACACAGGACGCTGAGATCTGAGGATCTCAGTTCAAAGCCAGCCTGGGCAGGAAAGTCCATGAGACTCCTATCTCCAATGAACCACCAGAAAACTGAAAGTGGCGCTGTGGCTCAATTGGTAGAGCGCTCGCCTTGAGCTGAAGAGCTGAGGGACAGCGCCCAGGCCGAGTGCAAGCCCCATGACCGACAAAAAATTGAGTGATGGAACTGAGTAAGAAGGAGATGAACATTTTCCAGGGACACTTCAGTGGTTTATCTAGTTATGTGCTCATTTGAATTACAGTCAATGTCTATCAGCAATCTGCGGGTTGCAAGATAGGAAGTTCCAACCACGGGAACCAGCTGAATCTAGTTTATCATTTATGTATGTTGCCAGCTGTGGGGCTTGAATTCAGGGCCTGGCAACAGTCCCTGAGCCCTTTTGCTCAAGGCTAGCACTCTACTTTGAGCCACGGAACCACTTCCTCCTCCTCCTCCTTTGTGATTAGTTGAAAATAAAAGTCTGATGGGGACTTTTCTGTCTGGGCTGACTTCAAACAGTGATCCTCAAATCTCAGCCTCCTGAGCCACTGGCACCTAGCCTTCCCTCCCACTCCCCCAAGAACAAGGCTAAGAAAGGCTCAGTATTCCGTCTCCCTGGTATTTCTCAGATTCTGAAAAACCACAGTTGATGGAGGTTGATGCGCTCACCGCCCCGGTGGCACCCCAGTGATGAGCTGCCTCAGGGCTCCCTTCATTTCCCTGTTCCTCAAACTGTACACAAAGGGGTTCAGCATTTGAGGGACCACGATATACATCACGGAAGCCACGGCATTTTTAGTGGGGGACACGGTGACCTCGGAACTCATGTACACCCCGATGCCTGTCGCATAGAATAAGCACACCACGGAGAGGTGAGAGCCACAGGTGGAGAAAGCTCGGCGCCTTCCCCTCCTGCTTGGGATCCTCAGCTCGGAGGTGACGATGTGACTGTAGGAGAAGATGATCCCCACGAGAGGCACACCGGCGAGCAGGCTGGTCCCCGAGTGCACCAGCAGGGTGTGGATGGACGTGTCGGAGCAGGAGAGGCCGATGACCTGGACGAGTTCACAGAAGAAATGGGGCATTTCCCCATCCGGGCCGGAAGCCAGCCGGAGCGGCATGAGCGTGTGGAGCAGGGCGTTGCCCGTGGCGAAGCCCAGGCAGAGCAGAGCCAGGAGGAGGCAGACGCGCGTGCTCATGACGATGGCATACCTCAGGGGCTGACAAATGGCCACGTAGCGGTCATAGGCCATCGCCGCCAGGAGACAGTTCTCTAGCCCGCCAAACACCAAGACAAAGCCGAGCTGGGAGAGGCACCCGGGGTAGGAGGCGCTGTGGTCCTGGGCTTGGATGTCCACCAGCATCTTGGGGATGGTGGTGGTGCTGATGCAGACGTCTGTGATGGAGAGGGTGGAGAGGAAGAAGTACATGGGGGTGTGGAGGGGGGCGTGGGAGCCGACGGCCAGGATGATGAGCAGGTTCCCTAGCACGGTGACCAGGTACACGGACAGGAAGAGGCTGAAGACCAAGGGCTGCAGTGCTGGGTCCTCGGTCAGGCCCAGCAGGAGGAATCTGGGAATGCCTGTTTGGTTTGTGGCTTCCATACCACTGCAGGATCGTAGGAGGAAGAAAAGGAGAGGTGAATGGAGTGAAGCACACGTTTCCTCCCGTGCAAAGGTGGTGTTGCACGCGGGAGGTGTGGGCGTGAGCAGTGGGCGCCATTTTGGACTTGGATGGCACCGAGCTCTGGGGTGAGGAGCAGCGAGGGGGCTTCAGCAGACACTCCTGGGGACCAGCTGTCCACAGGAGAATGGACACATTTCCACAGAGATGCTGTGGCCACACC